CCTTGGACAGTTTGGAACTCCCTTGAGTGAGCCATCTCCTCTTTTTCCTTCTTTCCTAAACTCCCGTGCAAGATACATTTCTTACAGCAGCCTGCACAGAACCCATGTAGCCATGGCTAGCCTTGCTCCCAGTACTCAAGCTCAATCGTCTTTCTATGATGTTCTGCAGCTTGCAGTACAGACATATCCATCTGTCTGAGTTCTTGCAGGACACTCATAACTCCTGTACCAAACCTCTTCACCAAAGTATTTGGGAGCCAGGTAACTGAGCTCCTCTATTGGCAAAGTAACCAAACAGGTGGGCACTTTCATCTCTGCAAGGACGAAAACTCATTTCTTAAAGGATAGAATAGGTACAGGCTCTGCTGCTTGTTCTCTTCTTCTAAATTGGTTCTTGCACCGTGCTTACTGGCACAGAACCTGTATACTCCTCTCCTCCCCAAGCCCTACCTTGACTGCCTATCAATGCTCCTTGTTCCCAAAATGGACCCATCACAGGCTGCAAGGGGGAAAGCAGTTCTCCTGCTAATGATGATGAATGACGCACCTTCTTCCACTCTGTGGAAGGCCAGTGAAGCAGAGTCTCAACTCCATTGTCCCACTCTACTGCTAGCAGTTGAAAAGGAGAAACAACTGACAGTAACTGCAGAGATGGGATATCAGCACCAAGAGATCCAAAAGGATGGTAAGTGTGTACCTACAATAGTCATGGACAGGGGAATGGGTGGAGGAGAGAAAGAGGAGGGTAACAGGATACTGTAAGCAGGCATGGGAAGGACAGACCATGCATATATACAGAAACCAAATTTTTATTAAGGCCTAAAGCAGATAAATTTACTGGCATTTCCATTCTCAATACTCAAAAGGAGGCACAAACCCCCTTTGGATGCATGGCTGTATGTAGGGACAAACAGATGAGAGTCAGCTGCGTAACTGTAGGAGGCAGGCTGCCTGTGATGGGTACGTGGAGAAGTTGCGGGTACAAGTGGCTGAGGCAGGTATAAAGAGAACGATGAGAAGGAGGATGGAAACAGAAAATAAAAGAAGACAGTTAGAAGGGGATATGATTTGACTCCTAAGGCATGGCTGGGAAAAGTGCAGGCTGGGAATAGATTGGCCCCTGGGCACTCACCAAAACTGGCAGAGAGGAAGCAAACCATTTCATACCTGTTTCAGAAGCCTGTTCACTCACCCATAGAGCTTTGGTTTCTTTTTAGCCTTGAACAATTAGATATTTGGGGCCTAATCTAACACCCACCAGAAACAATGAAAGCTTTCACAGGAGGAAGGATGCCGAGTAACTAAAGGTACACAAACATGAGCAGGGTTAGTCTGAAGGCCAGATCCTATGTGGAGGTCAGTGCATGGGACTGGGTTCAAGTGCAGTCCAGTGCACTGGCATGACATCTGGCCTTGGAGCAACCCCATGCATTATGGTGATCCTATGCTATCTGGTGCATGGGGACATGTCATCCAGACCATCCTCATGGGTCCAAAAAATTTGGCAGTGAAGGAGCAGCAGCATTAATTGCTACAGCTTCAAGAGCTACAACAGTTTCTGGGCCTGTGGGGAACCCCGTAGGCTGGGTAACAGCTCTGTGGGCCAGAGATAAGTACCACTGACCCATAACGTTTAAAAAAAAATCTTTTAACAAGCAGCATACACAAATTACCAGATCTAATAGGGTGGGTGAGCTCCACCGACACTCTTTAAGGGCAGCATTCCTTTGGAACAGTGAATTACTTTATTAGAAGTAATAAATCCATCCTAAATGCATGCCAAAAAAGCCTATAGACCCCATATATACATGCGTACATGCACACACTCCCCCTTCCTCCTAGTAGGAACATCTAGTTGGTTTTTGGTTTGTATATTTGCATGTGTTATAAACCACTGTCAACAATTATGACTCAATCTGGACAAGTCATGGTTAAAAGCCAAATGATGTAATAAACACAAATGACTAACTATCCAACTGTGCTTTTCTGTCTTATGTCTGTGGTCTCCACCTGTGATTTTGACCAATGACATTAATTGCACAATCCTGATGCATGTAGATGTTGCTATATTTAATACAGGTATTTTCCCTAAAATAATAAACCTGGCTTGCAGGATTCTCTCTCCCACCCCATTTGACTCCACTTACTCTTCTAACCTTCCTTCACTGGTTACCAGGCAACTTTAACCAGAGTGCTGTGAATAAAGCCTGAACTGACTACTGTCTTATACAAAACAGGAGTAGTTTTTCCACTATTCCATTTTCTAGGTGTGGAGTTTTGGGGGATTTTGGTACAAGGAAAGCAATAATTATTAACATTCTGGAGTTTGCAAAGACCTAACAGACAACACAGATTACTGGAGTCAAAGTATGGGGGAGGATACATCCTGACCCTCTTGGTATCAATGCCAACAAGTCTTCTAACTTAAGTGGGATCAGATTTTCACACTAAATTGCAACATTTTAAATCTAGGTTTTCAGCACCCTACTCTTGTACATAAATAATGTGTGACAAGTAAAACACTCTCCCTCTATTGTGGTTCTTTTTGGCAGTAAAAGTTTCACCCAAAAAGTTCTCATCCAATTTCTCTGCAAACTTGAAAGTTTCCATTTCTCAACAGCAAGAGGAGAAGCAGCATAACATCATCTCTAGCTCACTGCTCCACCACTCTATCTTGGAGAGATCACCAAGGAAAAAGGAAGATCTATCACACACTTTCTAGACTCCTGTTGTTACTGCTAGACCTCCCAGCAGAGGTATCAGCTAATGCTGACAGAGATGATGTTTTCCAAGTTGTATACTTAGAGATACACAAAGCTCTAGGGTCAGAGGCAATATCTTTTATTAGACCAACTAAATAGTAGCAAAAAACCTCCTTTCCTTTGCAAGCTTTCAGGCGCATACACCCTTCATGAGGCTGAGGAGAATTAAAAGATTATAAAAATCCCCATAGGTAGAATATAAACTCCATTTTGTACAAGGGAGGAAGAGGCTAGGAGTTTATTCCATGGAAGATGTTGTATGTTAGCCATTTGGAAAAGTAAACTTCATTGCTAACAAGAAAGATAGATTTTTTTTCACCTCCCTGGCTGCCTCTAACATCAGACACCTCCAAGGAAGAAGACAATCTAATCTGCACATCACAAGGCAGGATTCTCACAAAAGGACTCTCAGATGATACCCGGGGGAATAAGGGCTGCCTTGGTAGGAGTACTGCCAGCAGATTGAGGGAAGTGATTATTCCCCTCTGTTCAGCACCGGTGAGGCAACATCTGGAGCACTGTGTTCAGTTTTGGGCCTCCCACTACAGAAAGGGTGTAAGCAAATTGGAGAGAGTCCAGGAGAGGACAAGAAAAGTGGTCAGGGGGCTGGGAGACATGACCTATTTAGTCTGGAAAAGAGAAAACTATAGGGGGATTTAATAGACGCGTCCAACTACCTGAAAGGTGGTTACAAAGAGGATGGAGCTAGACTGGTCTCAGTGGTAGCAGATGACAGAACAAGGAGCAATCATCTCAAGCTGAAACAAGGGAAGTTTAGGTTAGATAGTAGGAAAAACGCTCTCACCAGGAGGGTAGTAAAGAACTGGAACAGGCTACCTAGAGGTTGTGAAATCTCCAACCTTAGAAGTTTTTAAGACCCAGCTAGACAAAGCCTTGGCTGGGATGATCTAGTTGGGGATGGTCCTGCTTTGAGCAGAGGGCTGGACTAGGTGACCTCCTGAGGTCCCTTCCAACCCTAGTTTTCTATGACAGAGGGAACATTATGATTATGTATTCTAAACTCCTATATAAACATAGGCCCTAGGCTCTCTCCCAGTAATCATTACATCAAGCCAGGAGTTCAAGGATCTGTCACCAACCACCCAGAGGAATAAATAAATTAGCTGACACAATGTACTATCAAATGCACAAACTAGAGAAAGTATTTCCAACTAATTACTTTTAAAGTCACTATCAGCCAGGTTACAGGTTACTCACACACAGGAGGGATCTGTAGATGCAAGCAGATAGCACTACATAATTTCACGTTAGTTTAATTCTTCAGTTTACCTCCATACCTAGGAGGACCAGAAATTTAATTGTTGTTTTTACATTGAAGAGCAGATTCTGCAGCACAAATTCTGGTGCACAGCACGATACACTCTTCAATCAACCTGGCAGTTAGGAATCATAACATAGATAATGCCTCATGACCACATTCCAATATGGCCCAGTGTTCAAATGAAGATTAAAAGAGTACATTAGCCCAAGAGCAGGATTTCTTCCATTAATTGCAACTTTAAGCTGGCATCAGAATTTTGCTAGAGAAAAGCATGTGCTCTAACGAACTCTGGAAAATGTTTGAAACAACCTTTTACAAGTCAGCAGCGTACTTATACTTTGAGGGAAAAATGAAAGAAAATAAATTAAGAAACATTGCTTCTTTCTGACTAATGGGGTCAGAAGCGTACAGCTGAATTAATGTAATAAGAATGTGCTTTCGTAAGTAGTAGTTACTTCCAAAATTCAGCACTGTGGTTAAAACTAAGAAGCACCTCCTAATGGTGAACATTACCACAGGAAAACAGTTTGCTGTTTCCCCAGGTGAGCATTTGAAAAAAAAAAAAGGCTGGCTTGGCACTTTTAGCATCTAGAGCAACAAAATAAGAAATTACCAAAGAAACTTCCATCACAAGCACACCTTAGAATAAAATGAAGGAATAGTATGTGGTCAGTAGTAGATGTGTTTGGGGAATGTAGAGAATGATACAATATTACAACAGTTATGAAGATGGAAGCTCATCCTGAAAGTCACACGTGTGCCTAACTTTACTCACATGTGACTAAAACCTACTGCCTAAATCCTACAAGCTTAAGCACTGAAGTCTACCACATCTGCTTTACAGGTAATTCTAATAACCTTAGTCAAGCTGCTGCAGACTTATACCAGTACAAAAAAGAGAGGAATCGGGTCAAACACCTTTAATCACAAAGATAAAACATATAACTAAACATTACCTCTAGCTGCTTAAGAGCAAAAGGACCACCATCCTTCTTCAAATTCTGCATGATTTCTTCCATGCTGCTTGCTGAAAACATACTGAAAATAAAAAAAAGTCTTATATCAGCACATATAGGGTCTAATTCACCTTCCTTTCCCATGCAAAATACCAGGCACTTGGAAAATCAGAAAGAAAATTTTCACTAGACTATTAAGTTTATTCCCTACAATATTATTTGTCTACTTTGTCCAGTCTGGTCCCAAACACCTCAACCAGTGAGGTTTCCTCCACTCCGCTCTGGTCAAGCCTATTAACATTCTAATAAACCTCAGTTATGAATACTGGTATCCTTTCTAAGAATAATTTACTTAACATCTACAAGGCTTATCTATGTATCCAGAATGCATCAAACACTGCATTATCATCTTCATCATTAACAATTCCCTTTGATGCTTGATGTTTATACCCTTAAAATATTTAAAGAATTCTACCTCCTCAGTTGTTTAACCAGCCTATTTTTATATTCATCTGTTTTAGTGTTTCCTTGGGAGTAAATCCTTCCATACTTTAAATCAGTGACATGATCATGACTGGTTCAGGAACCCCATGAACAGTCAATGTTAGCCAAAGAGCTACAAAAGCAGCTATTGAACTGTAGCAAATAAATCTGGGGTACTTGCAGTAGTTATACCCTATTTGATACAGATAATGCATGTGTTGCACAGATCATAATTGCAGGAAATATATTGCCAAAGCATGCAAGTAAAACAAGCACTCCCCCCCCGCAATAATATTTTCTGCAAAGTGCTACAGGTGATAAGTTGAAGAGCTACTCTCCAAGTATCATTGCTTAAATCATTTTTGTTGTTGCGCCCCCCAATTCAAATCCATCTCTCAACCCCTTTCTGGTACATAAGTATCCAAAAAAAATGGTCACACGTATAACCTCCTCCAAATAGCCACTGGAGTTGCATATGAGAGGCAAAGATTTTTGTGGGTGGTATGTTTTATTGCAAGAACTGCATGGCCGGATGGGACACGGACATGTTTTCCAGTACCATAGTACCCAACCAGAGGATTGATACTGCAGTGCCCAAAAGCCTCTGTCCCTCAACTATGCAGTTGGTCCAATAAAAGAATAATGGGTGGATTGTTGGGCTCAATATCTAGTTGGCAGCTGGTATTAGACTGAAGCTAGGCAATTGATTTACCAGATGAAGAACGCAGCAAGATGAGATCCGATAGTAAGTGGTGCTCAAACTTCCATCCCTGTGGACCAAATGAGTAGCATGGGAATCAGGCACATGGGGTTGATGTGTGGGTGCAATCTGATATGCCAGCCATGCCCTATGCACTGGATTCAGCTGCAGAGTGGCGCCATAAACCACAAATTTGGCAGTAGGGGAGCAGAGGCAGAATTAATTACTTAATTGACACCGCTCTTGGAACAACAAATGCTAGCCCTTCTACCCCGTTGCCAAATTTCTGGGCCCGTGGAGAGCACCATGGGCCAGACAGCATGGCCACACAGGCCAGAATCAGTCGGTAAGCGGAAGGTTGAGTACCACTGCTATAAGTCTTTTCTTTCAAATAGTCTATTAAACATCAGTGTTAGCTGTTACTATATTAACTTCACATCTCCCACACAAAAAAGGTAAAGTGATAATGCCTGCTGAATACCTGTTAATCTTCTCCATGTGTTCATCAAGTATGAATTGCTTTTCCTGGTCAATTTTGCACTATTTGAAAAGGAAAAAATCAATATTTAATTTAGCACACTCTGAGACTGAAATATTATGATACACTAAATAAAAATCTGTATTAAAAGCTCAGTTAATGCTTACAGCATGTTATCACATTTAATTACCTTTGTCATTATATGCTGAGATTTTTTAAAGTCCCATCCCATGATACAGTGATAGTTAAGAGTTACTGTATATGTTAAAGAAGATCTATAAATATATTTTGCCAGTTACAAATACAGAGGGCACTAATTCAGATATATTTTCAGAGATGTGTGAAAAGCTGTAAGAAAGGAAAATAAAGATGAAGTGTATCAGATGTTTGGTTTTCTTAGGATATTTATTCAAGAGTTATGAAACTGCCATTAAAAAGTCTTATATCTAGAGCAGAAGACATGATGATTTTCTAATTTTCTATTAATATCTTGTCTTTGGAGAAGAATAAAAGCAACTGGAAGGAAGGAAAGAAAAAATAAGTAGTTTCTATGCAACCTTTGAGATTTTTCTTGTTTATTTTGTGTCCCAATCTCATTCTTTGGGATAGATTTGTTCATTTGAGTCTTCCTGCTTGTTTTGGTTTATAATATTAATTACAGGGCTTCTTCTAAACTTTAAGATCAATAAATACACAATTTTCTAAAATTGGGATTAACACTGAAATTATGCTAAGATTTATGAACCAACTATGATTCATACAGCAGTACCATTACTGTACTCTCTTTCTACTTACTTCTAGTCTTTTTCACATTAATAAAACATTTAGAAGTTTGCATTATTTGCTACTTATTAAGCTGCTGGATAAGGGAACTGCATGATGTGATGCATTTGAACTAGAGTTTATGACAAAGATTTTAGACCTGCTGTCATTACAAGGTTTAAGATAAACAGATGTTTCAATGCCAATGGCAGCAGCTAAATCTCAGAAGCAGATTCCTTGTTATTTCTGTTTCAATGACTGCCAGTGTGCAGCTTCCATTTCATTACATTTCAGCCTTGCACTTTACTCAGAATGGCAGGAAGTTTTGAGTGGAGTCCCACAGGAGTCTGTACTGGGCCCAGAGTTATTCAACATGTTTATTAAATATTTGGATGCGGGAACTAGGGAACTTATTGAAAAAATCCATAGATAACATGAAACGGAAAAATTGCAACATGGACGACCGGTGCCGCCTTAGTCGGGGTGGGGCACATGCCTCCCCTGCGACCAGACTCACTGCCTGGTAGGGGGTGTCCCCCACAGCTGATCTCACTGCCCAACGGGCAGGGGGAGGGGCCCACAGCAGAGCTCACTGTCTGTGATCTTAGTGGATCACAGACTCAGTAAGTGTGAAGTGGGATACAGCTGCACAAAAGGCAAATGGAGTTTGGGCTGTATCAATAGGGGAATTAGGTGCAAAACATGGAAAGTGGTAGTGCCTGTTGACCTGGCACTGCTTAGGACTGACTCATCTAGAGCAGTGTTTCTCAAACCATGGGTCATGACCCAAAAGTGGGTCACAAGAAAATAAGAAAGGGTCACAAACAAACTTTAAAAATGGATTCTCCTTTAAAGGCGAAAATTGTGGGAAGCCAAGGCTTTTCCCTTGCAGGCTGTCAGAATTCCAGCCTGCAAAGGGCTGCCTGGGGCCCCCCATTCCCCTCACACACCCCACCCTGCCCCACATACTGAGGGGGTGGGCTGGCCATCAATGTTTACAAATGGGTCCTGGTACAAAAAAGGTTGAGAACCACTGATCTAGAGTACTCTGTACAGTTTTAGGCTTCACGTTCTAAAACTGACATTTGAGAAGTTAGAGAGAGTCCAGATGATAAAGCTGGTTTGGAAGGCAAACTATACAAAGAGAAGATGAAAGAAATAGGCAAGTTCAACTTACAAAAAAGGCACTTAAGAGAAGACATGACAGCAGTCTTCAAATATCTGAAGGTCTATCATAAAGTTGAGAGAGAATGCCCTTTCCTTCTAGCTGAAGACAGCAAGAGGTAGACCAATGACTTGAAGTTGCAGCAAACTGGTTTGGACTGGATATCAGGAAAAACATCTTTCTGGGTAGGAACAGTGAGCAGTGGCACAGACTGCCTAAGGAAGTTGTGAAATCTTCATCATTTGAGGTGTTGAAGGAGAAGTTGGAAAAGCATTGGTCAGGGATGATCTAAGCACAGCTGTGCCTATGCTATATTATGGGTATTTCCCATGTTTCTGGTTGTCACATGCAGCTGGGAAGAAATATTTTCCCCTCTTGATGCTAAATGTCGGGGGGAGGAAGGGGGGACTCACATTCCTCAAAAGCATTGGGTGTTAGCTGCAGCCAAAACTGGGGAGTTTGACCAGGGTATGCCAACGTTCCTGCTGGGACTAAAACTCAGAGATTCCTGGCTGGACTGTTTGCCACATTTGGGCCAGGAAAGAATTTTATTCATAGAATCATAGAAGTAGGGTCGGAAGGGACCTTGTAGATCTTCAAGTCCGACCCCCTGCCTGGGCAGGAGGAAAACTGGGCTCAAATGACCCCAGCCAGATAGGCATCAAGCCTCTTCTTAAAGACCCCCAGGGTAGCAGCCAGCACCACTTCCCTTGGACGTTGGTTCCAGATCCTAGGCACCCTAACTGTGAAGTAGTTCTTACAGATGTCTAATCTAAACCTACTCTCCAACAACTTGTAGCCGTTATTCCTTGTTATCCCAGGGGGTGCTAGGGGAAACAAGGTCTCCCCCAAACCCTTCTGGTCCCCCCTAGTGAGTTTACAGACGGTCACCAGGTCCCCCCTCAGCCTTCTCTTGTGAAGGCTGAACAGGTTCAGGTCCTGTAGCCTCTCATTGTAGGGTCTGCCCTGCTGTCCCCAGATCATGCGTGTGGCCCTCCTCTGGACCCTCACAATGTTGTCCACATCCCTCTTGAAGTGGGGTGCCCAGAAGTGGACACAGTACTCCAGCTGTGGCCTGACCAGTGTCGCATAGAGGGGGAGGATCACCTCCTTGGCCCTACTTGAGATGCACCTGTGGATGTACGATAAGGTCCGGTTAGCCCTGCCGACCGTGACCTCGCATTGTTGGCCCATGTTCATCTTGGAGTCAGTAGTGACTCCAAGATCCCTTTCTGCCTCCGTGCTCTCAAGAAGGGAGTTTCCCATCTTATAAGTGTGCTGCTGGTTACTACCGCCCAAGTGCAGCACCCTGCACTTGTCAGTATTGAAACGCATCCTGTTTTTGTTCAATGAGGTCAGATAAGTACAGATTGCGTGGGGGGGTTGCCTTCCTTTGTGGTAGGGGAATGGCCATCTTCCTCGCATCTCCCGAGCATATTTTAACAACAGGACATCAACCAGCATTGTCCCTCTGCTTTACCTATGGCAGGTTAGAGTGCTATGCTTTGGGGGCGGGTGTGGCAGGATTACCTGTCAACACGGATTTGGGGATGGTTTGGATACGGATGTTCCTGCCTCAAGAAAGGGGTCTGACTAGATGACCTCTAGAGGTCCCTTCCAGCTCTGCTTTTCTGTGATTCTATACTGCAACATGTAATCTTTCTTGGCTTGTAATTTTCTATTGTTCTGAAGCCATTCAGTAACATTAGGCAAGTTAATTTCTTCCACTTATTTTTCCACTGAACATTCTCACAAATACTTAGAGTAAAACAGATACCAAACCACCTGGGAATTTCCTATTCATTTGAAAGAATACTGCAAATCTTACTAGAAAGTTTGTAGAATACTGAACAAATTGAACTCAAATTATTGAACCATTTTTAAATGCATACAAAGTGCTACAAGACTATCTGACAGATACTTGCTGTGTGATATGAATGGAGTAACATTCACCTTCTAAAGTCATTATGAAAAAATTATGAGTTTGAATTTTGGGGAAGTAACAGGATATCTTTCGAAAAAATAAAACATGCAGAATTTAGTCATAACAAGCAAGAACTGTTTTAATGCTGCTTGTTAATATTTGCCAGACTGGGCCTTAAGATAGCAGACAATTGATTGTTGTGTCTCTTGGTCAATTAAATACTTGAAGATTAAATCACATTTGCTAGAAACCTGAAATTCAAGATCCCGTGGAGACTTGCCAGTCTGCACACGGTGTTACACTGTCACTCCCTTTGGCTAATGGCTGTGTCCCTTTCCTTTGCACAAGCAATGCTGGAAAAAAAAAAAAAAAAATCACATTCTGTTTGCGGTTTTGTATAGCAAACAAGCTAGAATTTAAGAGTTTTGGTATTCAACTGTTGATGCTAGTAGATGAGAAAAAAAGAATCCAAATAACTGGTCTAATTCCATTATTCAAAGTGAAGAAAGGGCAAAAAATAGAACACAGAAACAGATTTTAAAATTATAAAATTTAAAATCTTTTATTTTAACATTATTAACACTTTGCAATAATGCACAGAGGCTAGCTGAGGCGCATTATAAGCATATTGCAAAGTTATTTATAACATAGATAGGAACATCTTTATTTACATACACTTGAAGGGAAAATCCCAAACCTTATTAATTAAACCTTGTAGTTAGCCAGTCTATTACCTTTACATGATAGGAGTTCAATAGTTCTGCAACATTTTCTTTTGAAGGTGATTTCAGTGCTGTCAAATCTCTTTCCAGAGCGGGCAGCTAGCAAAAAAAGAGTCACTTAATAGACAAATAAAATACCGTGCTTGGACTGCTACTACTTTTAGTACTAAACAATTATGAACTAAAGTCTCTTGGCCTGATATAAGGAGGTGCTGTGCAGACAATGGGATCAGCAGCTGTTTAGCACCTGTGAAAAGATGAGCCATGTGGATTGACTTATGCCTGCAATACGCAGCACAGCACCTCAGAGAAAGGTGGAAGTAAGAAACTACTGTCTCCCATGTTGGGGAGCCTGGCTACTGTGCTAACCTAACTCAGCATGCAAGAACCTCAACATCTTGACAGCTCCAACAATAGTCATGGTCTCATTCTCTCCTCAACTACTTTGCAAAGGATATTATCCATCAGGTAGGTTATAACGTGTCATAAATCCAATGTCTATATTTAGTTCATGATTTTTAGTATCCAGGAAGTTGATGAAGTGGAGTTCATAGGCTCGTCTATGAACTCCACTACCTGACATCTGACTCCCCAGGTACCTCTCAACTATTCACCCCCTTCTCTCCCCACACGCAGCCTGTGTCTTACCCATCGACTCCTCAATCTACATTTGCACTGACTACCTGTCTTGTATGCATACCAGCCCAGCCTCTGGCTTCTTTACTTTTCATTCCATCCAGGAAGAGCGCACACCAACTGCTGTAACTTCCTCAGCCCGACAAAGAGTTTTTAAACCTGAAAGCTTGCTTAAAATTTTATTTTCCAACTACTTAAGTTGGTCTAATAAAAGATATCAGATTCACCCAAAGAACCTTGTCTGCCTATGTCTTTAGACCAACACGGCTACAACCTACATCACTTATGCAAGGCATTTGTGGGATCGGGATCCATGTATGTTAGAATACAGATCAAAAAAGTATTTACTATTTTTACTTTTAACAACCTCCTAAGCACAGCTTTCCAAATGGGATTTAGAGTCAGCAACTGCTTCAGCTTGTATCACCTATTCTTGGCTCTCACAAGAATTCATGCATGGTCTTAAAACATGTTTTTTTGTAGGGGTAAAAGATAAGTAGACTCTAATAGGCCATTTTAGTAAATTGAATTCTTACAGAGAGTTACCATTATCCAGAGTACTAATGCAATAACTCAATTAATTTGGGTAGCAAATTATTTTCGTGATTTGCTTACAAGAACACAGGCCTGCAAGACAGCACGCACCCACACACCACATGCTTCACTGGGAAACACATGCAACACGGTGAAACATTATATATACACTGTCAGGCAGTACACTCTATATGGTGAAAAATAGGCTGTTGGAGTTCTTCAGAGTGTTTCTGGTCTAGAAGGACTGTGGAGTTAGAGAAGTTTCGTGGATAGCACCGAAGCTCGTTTGTAGAAAGTTATACTTGGGATAATTTGCTGAGAAACAGAAGATGAAGCTAGATCTTTAAGATACTCCTGTACTTATTTTCTGTGATGCTATGGCTCCTCATGATTGTAAGGCACTTGAGTCTTTCAAAGGGCCAAAAACTACATTCAGAAAGTTTGCATTATAAAGTCACTTCATTTAAGTGTTCAGCTGTGCGCACACTTTTTATGCACTGAGATAGACAGACACTTTTTACTTTAAGGATGGGCTTCAACAATGAGTAGTATTAAAGAAGTAGTTTGGATACTCTGGCAAGGAAGAACTGCATATTGTATTTACTCAAATACAAGACAGCCCCAATTATGAGACGACCCCCCAATAATTAGATTCTATAGATCGAAAATGTATATTTTTGTTAACATTTTCCAGGTGTAGAATCTGATTATTGGTATTTGCCATGATTTTGTCCCTGTCCAATTGCTACAGCAGGGAAAATAAGTCTAGGGCAGGGGTCAGCAACATTTTTGGGCAGAGTGCCAAAAACACCCATGACCTTGACTTGTAAGATGTTGGTGTGCCTGGGGCAGATGGTTGGGGAGCCACAAGGTGCCCGATCCTTGTTGAAGCAGTGCAGCCCTGGCCCCTTCCCTGCCATCTGCCCTGAGACATGTGCGCCAAGCAAAATGCCTTCAAGTGCCACATTCTGGCATCTATGCCAAGGGTTGCCTACCCCTGTTCTAGGGGTTCAGGTAGTCCCCCTTACCCTGCCCCACCCCACAACTTTCTTCCTGTCCTGTCACTCTATTCTCCCTGAACACATGGAAGAGAGGGGTATAATTTCCTTATAGGCAAATTACTATAGGTAAGACCAGATGAACCAGTTTTAAGGCACTATTCCTTTTTGAAACTGCTGCAAGTTTTAGCAAAGGTACTCCATAAACATACTTTTAAGGAACATTTTTGTATTTGCTTATACATAGTACAAACTATACGTGATATTAGTTCAAAGCCAAAAGGCTCATGATTTACTATATAATTAATCAGGCTGGGCCCCAGCAAAGTTAACAATGTTTCAAGCTATGGTGACCCCACAGCTCAGCACTACTCAGTATATGTACGTGTACTCCAGATACACCCCCCCTCCCCACCCAAAGGATTCATGCATTAATCAGCCCCCCAACCTAACTGCAACCAGGTATTCTTGGCACAAGTCCTGGGATCCTCCAAAAATGTATACGCAGATGAGGTGCAGGGCAACCTGGTTTACCTCAAACTCATGGAGGGCAGGGTGACACTAATATGCAACAGGTTGAGGGGGCAACAAAAGCATTCTGGATGAACTGTTTGAGGCCCCATTTGGTGATGTTTGCCAGACATTTATGGATGGTGAAGAAACAGGAGTCATTGGAAATGAGAAAGCAAGGTGCAGCTCAGCAACAGGAATGAAAACTAAGTCGAAATGTAAGCTACGTGGTGACTCACCATGACTTAAAATGATTCAGCACTGAGGGGGACTGCATGCGACAGGCACTAGCATATATTTTATTCAGATAGGTTGCACTAATCCAATGTTTCTCAACCTTTTAAGTAGCAAGTACCCCCTAACTTCTAAAAATTTTAACAAGTACCCCAACTCTCAATTTTCCAGGGGATTTTATATTTACAGACTAATGTGTGCCATATGTTGGAAGAAGGGCTGTGTATATAAGGCCGTGATATGACAGATGTCTGATCTGGTGTGGGTACAGTGACCACCTTTTACACCAGGGGTGCACAACTCAAGTATGTACCTGGGCTACAGGTGATGTTGGCCAAAGCAAGGAGGGCTAAATGCCAAATTATTACTGGGGAATTTAAAGCGTTGCGCAATGCATGGCGCACCAAATTTTTTGCCATAGTTTTGAGAGTGGGACTCGTCCCATGACTGGGCAGTTAACATCAGGGGCTATAGGCTGTACAGGCGGGATAGAGAAGGCAGAAAAGGCGGGGGGGTGGCACTTTATGTCAAGGAGCACTACACATCCTCTGCCAGCAGTATGGGGTCAGGGGAAGGGCGAGCTGAAGTGCTCTGGGTCAAGATCCAGGGGGGGCAAGGCGAGAGGGATTTGACGGTGGGGGTCTATTACAGACCCCCCAATCAGGAGGAGGAGCTGGACAGGGAATTTTCAGGCCAGCTTGCAGAGACACTAAAAGCAAGGGATGTAGTTGTCATGGGCGATTTTAATTACCCGGACATCTGCTGGGAGGAGCAGTCAGCCGGGACGGACCGCTCCAGGAGGTTCTCCAACCTTTTTAAGTAGGAGATTACCTTTGGCATTTAAAAGCAACCCAAGATCTAACATGTGCTGCTGCCACCACTCCCCTCCCTCCACCCAGCAGGTAAGTCTGTGGGAAGGGAAGGAGGGGGGCTCAGATTGAGGCAGAGGGAGTAAAATTTATTTGGGTGCACCTCCCCAGCAGGTAAGTCCCACCCAGCCAGGGCCTCACTCAACTTACCCTGCTCCTGCTTCTGCTACACTATCCCTCACACAGGGGCCACAATCTAGCCCCTGCCCCTTCCCACCCTGATGGACTGACCTGCTGGGCTGGGGCACATGAGTGCATGAACATAGGCACTCAGCCCCCCCACCCCAGCCTTAGATCAACTCCAAGAGGCTCTAAGATCTATCTCAAGAGGCTCCGAGATCTACCGGTGGATCGAGATCCACTGGTTGGTAGCCACTGGACTAGATGATCTATGGAGGTTCCTTCGGTTCCTACTTCTCTACGATTCTAAAGGATCCATAAAAGTTTTAAGTGTGATGTGATTCAAGCAACTTGAGGAAGAAATATTACTACTGAAGCAGCATTTTAGATGGAGTCAAAGGGACATTTTATTATGCATTATTTGCATTATTTTAAATGCAGATTGTGAATAAAGAGGAGGAAGAGAAATGAGGGAATCAAACTGCAATGCAAATCTCACATCCAGGCCCACTTCACCTTAGTGGATGAGAAGGAAAATCTAAGTCTTAGAAATGCTGTATACATATCATCGCCAAGATTTAGGCATATTCTGAGTTGAGATATGAGATAGGGGGAGCTAAGCTGAAGATGATATCCAGATTTTAGTTATAAATGAGATGGATAGCTTTGTTATTTCAGAAAAGTGACAGAGAAAGGGGAAGTTGGGGTATCAATAAAATACATAGAATTAAGGAAGATTCAATGAAGGAAAGGAGGAATAGAATATATAAATGCTTTGTAAAACATTTTGACTACTTCCTGGAAAGGGCTTTCTTCAATATTTTGCGCTGCATTGGAAACACAAAAACCAATAAAATTACCTCCATCTTCCCCCTGCCCAAAAACAGGTGTTTTGTTTTACTCAAAATGTATTTTAGATTGGGGTAGTGACAACAAGTTGATATTTTGGAGGGAGAGGAAACAATTATTTTGACCAATTTCTATCTTAATTTTTAAACCAAAAAAGCAATATTACAAGTCTCACTGTATCAGTTACAATAGACAAAACCCCTAAATTATTCCTATCATATGCCCTTGGGGGGAGGTGGGTAGTGGAGTCCCCCAGGGCTCGGTCCTGGGGCCTGCGCTGTTCAATTTCTTCATCAGCGATCTTGATGTTGGGGTGGAGAGCAACCTGTTTAAATTCGCTGATGACACC